CAGACAGACAGACAGACAGAGAGACAGACAGACAGAGAGACAGACAGACAGAGAGGATTGAGTGATTGCGGTAATAACGTCCTTGGCGGCGTAAATGGGGAACAGGAGAGGTTGTGTGTTAGTGGTGTGGGTGGGTGTCAGTCAGTCAATCTACCTGTCAGTCAGTCAGTTAATCAGCATTCATAGTTAAAGGGTAACTGACACACCTGTACATGAGAATGCTGTCAGGCCAAAGGAAACAAAGGAATCGGGATTTGCGTTCATAACTGACGCAGGTGTACACACAAACACGACACAGGCGAGAAGTTGTGAGTGAGTGCGTGAGTAAGTGAGTGAGGCAAAGCTATTACTCATTGTGGTGGCAAAAACAGCGCGAAAAACTGAACACAGAATATAGTGTTGAGAGGGAGGCACCAGGAATCCCCCACCGCACTGCCCCGCCCCGCCTCACCTCTCCCCACCCCTCCCCACCCCGCTCCTCCCCTCCCCTCCCCAACCCACCCCCTTCCCTCCCCAACCCACCCCCTTCCCTCCTCCGCTTCACCGACTACAGGAAAAAGTAAGGGAAGGTTATAAGTCGTCTTTTTCCACAGAGGTAAGGAGTGTGTCGGCGCCTGCACCCTTCGACTCCTGTCTCCCCCTGCCACACACACACTCCCTCCCTCCCTTCCCCTTCATTCCCTTTATTTATCTTGTTTTAAATTACTTTGTCTTCCTCTACCACCCCATGTTTCCCCTCCGGTCTCCCTGTGTACAAATCCAGTCTACGACCCCCTGTGTACGATTTCATGTGTACGACCCAGTTTACGACCAACATGTGTACGACTTCCTGTGTACGACCCCTTGTGTACGACCTCACTTTACGACCCACTTGTGTACGACTTCCTGATTTCCTGTGTACGACCCCTTGTGTACGACCCCAGTTTACGACCCACTTGTGTACGACCCCAGTTTACGACCCACTTGTGTACGACTCTCTCTACCTCTCAACCCCGAGGAATACAATACTCATTTGCCAAGAGTTTTTGTCAGAGGAGGAAGTTGTACTGTGTCTTATCTTGACATACATGTGTGTGTGTGTGTGTGTGTGTTTATCTAATTTCAGTCGTATAACCAAAATTTATCCACTTAATCACGGTTCATCTGTAGGCAATTAGGTGTCAGTAGCGGCCCAAATATTTCACTTTTGATGCGTCAGTTTGGAGAGAGAGAGAGAGAGAGAGAGAGAGAGAGAGAGAGAGAGAGAGAGAGAGAGAGACACACACACATATTAAATATACACCCTAGGTCGTTACCCCACTTACCTACATATACCAACTACCACAACTACAACTATCTCAGCTACCACCACCACTACCAACATTCTTGGCGCCTAGAATAGCTCACCCGTGAGATTTATGAGAGCTTCACGGTGCAGCAGCTAATTTGAAACACTGAATACTCGGCATAATTCTCACTTAACCTAACCTAACCAAGAAACACACACACACACACACACACACACACACACACACACACACACACACACCTCCGAGGAAAGACTTTGTGTTTTCATTGAATGGGAAAATTTAATGTACGAACTTTTATAAATATCAAGTACTGTGGAGTCTTACCATAATTTTGACGCCATTTTGATTACTAGGAAATTCGGTTAAGAGGAAAATTCTGTTTCGAGGAAAATTCAGTTAAGAGGAAAATTAGAAACTTCTCAGTATCCGAATCTTGGCCCCACAACGTTAAGAGTTTTATCTTGAGGTTCAGAAATTTAATTATTTTTGTATTCAACTTGTAATTAATGTATCTAGGTAGACCTTTGTTTGTTATATCACCTTCTCTGTGTCTGGCTCTCTGTCTGTCTGTGTGTGTGTCTGTCTGTGTGTGTGTCTTTCTGTCTGTGTGTCGTCTGTATGTCGGTCTGTCTGTGTCGTCTGTCTGTCTGCAACACACACACACACACACACACACACACACACACACACACACACACACACACACACACACACACACACACACACACACACACACACATCCTCCACCTAACACCATTACCACCACCACTATCACCTCCTACACCATCACGCCATTATATAGACAACATCACTTCCAAACTTCCTGGAACCATCGGCGTTTATCATGTAGTGTGTGTGTGTGTGTGTGTGTGTGTGTGTGTGTGTGTGTGTGTGTGTGAAATAAGTAGAGGCTGTAAATAACCTCACCTATCCTCACCTCGCCCCATATATCATTAAGGTATTCAATCATCAGGTGAAATAGCTGTAGGTGGAATGATAATCTTCAGGTAACCCGTTCACCCAGGTGTCCCCTAATGAGTGGCAGGTCTCCCTCTCACCTGTGTGTTGGGAGCTGTGATTGGTCTAGACACTGAGGTTGATAATCTTGATCGATCATTGGCTGGGTAGGTGGCACGTCTGGCACTGTGCCTTGCTAACACACGCCGTGGCCCTGGCCTCTCGTAGCTCTGGAGGGTCTTGGTTTAACCCCTTTTGAGGATGATGGTTTAAATCTGTAAAATGATGGTTTAACCCTTTTGAGGATATTGGTTTAATCCTTTGATGACTATGATTTAACCCTTTGAGGACAATGGTTTTAGCCTTTGAGGGTGATGGTTTAATTCTTTTATAATGACGATTTAAACCTTTGAGGGTGATGGCTTAAACCTTTTGAGGAGGATGACAACACAAGGGTGTAACTATTCATTTATATTATTCCTTGTGGACTTCATCAGCAATAGTGACTTGTTTTGCTGTGTTCGTTAGCGATGTTGTCCGGTTAAATGAGGATCTAAGGCTAAATGATGGTGTCCGGTTAGATGTCGGTATCCAGTTAAACAAGGGTGTACAGTTTAATGAAGGTATTCTGGTTAAATGTTGACTTCCGGTTAAATGATGGTGTCCGGTTGAATATGAGTGTCCGGTTAAATATGAGTGTCCGGTTAAATGAGTGTCCGGATAAATTAGGGTATCCGGTTGTGGAGGGTCAGGGCCCTCTGTCAGCTCTCTGGATCAGCTGTTATTTGTCAACCTATAATACCAACTGTCAGGACGTGTTTCCAGCTGACATCATCTAATCTCACCTATCCGGAATTTGATCGTATCTGTCAGGAGCAGCAAGAGATGCCACCAGGATATACTTGCCAGCCAGCTATCAGGATTAAGAGGCGGGATAGGAGTTTTAAATCCCCTGGTAGGATGGCTGCTGGAGGCCGGGCGCTGGGCTGGGCTGCCGCAGCTCACTCTCTCTGATCAATACTCTCAGCTGCATCCTCAGCTCATATATGCGGTATATCCTCAGCTGCTGGCTTGTACCTGCAGCAGCATACCCCAGCATACCCTCTCTTTACGGGGGCGGAGCGAGGCGTGGCTTAGTCTGGTGCGTGGAGTAGTCGATGCTGCCACGCCCACACGCGCACACACACACACACATACATATACTTTCTTTGGCTGCTGTCTTCAGAAGGTTGGTTATTGTCGTGCAAGTCTTTGTCCTTTAATCTCTCTCTCTCTCTCTCTCTCTCTCTCTCTCTCTCAGGTGGCCACTGTGGTGTGTGGTGGAAGCAGGGTTTGTCAGACACAGTAATTAATGGTCACTTAAATTGTGTTATTATCGTGGTTATGATATTAACCTCTTGTGTACGTTTTATATTAATCTTGGTGTGTGTGTGTGTGTGTGCGTGCGCGCGCGCGCTTGGGGGAGGATTGTGTTTGTAGTCATAATAATAATACTTCACGGTTTATTAACAAATACAAAGGCCATAAGCTAAAAGTATTACAAATTAAATAATAACAGATATAATATACAATAAGGGAGAGTGAGAGAAATGGTTTTATAACATGGGATCTCTGCACAGTTACAGCTCAAAGGTGAGAGTGTGAAGGATTGAACACACAAATTATCTACGAGTTGTTGATGAACTTTTACATTGGATGGAATGGGGTTGTCTGTTGTTATAGCATGGTCGTATGGGCTGGATGCTGTGATGATGTCAAGTAGCAGCAATTAGCAGACGAGGGATCTCAGGCTGTAGAAGGAGCCGGTGGCGAGGATAGTGTGAACTGACAGACAGAGTTGAGAGGGCCAGTTGAACACCTTTTCATATGTGGTGTAGGAGAGAGGTAGAGAATAATCTTGCACACTTTTGCACTCTAGGACTCCTCTTTGTGTAGCACTCAAGAGCTCAGACGCAGGAACTCGAGGGACTTGAGACGACGGAGGAGGTGAAGACGATAACAGGAAGATTTTGCGTTTGTGTTGATGTGTACTTTCCACTACAGTTTGTTTCTTATACTCACGCCGAGGAGCTTGGTGGAGTCCATACTCTCGAGGGGAGGTGGATGGATGGATAGATGGATAGATAGATAGATAGATAGATAGGTAGATAGACATTATTCAGCAAAATCTCCGCCATACAAGGTAAAAATTGGTTCAACAAGTATATTATCGATGCCAGTTTACAATCCAGCTGTTATTTTATTATTGGTCAACACACACAGTGAGGGTCGACCATTTCCTTCTCTGGTCTGTTTGTTGTGATGGCGACGGAAGTTTTGTGACCTGGGGAGTTATTTTTGACCATTGTTGAAGCCTTTGTTGTGTAGTTTTAATCTGAGACACAATAGACGGGTTTAAAGTGTTCTGCTAAATATGAGTATTATTATTTCCAGTATGTCTTAAAATCCGCTAATCCGAAGAGTGCTTTTCCCTCCCTCTCCCACAAAAAAAAGTTCTGGTAATCCTGATTTTACTGCGGCAAATTGCGGCAAATTAACCCCCTTCCCTCCCCCCCTTTGTTATTCAGGTGCTAAATCATGTTTCTTTTAGTATCAGTAGTGTGAAGTAATTACTGCCTAATCAATGTGTGATATTATTATTATTATTATTATTATTATTTGTATTACATTATTATTACTATTTATTATTATCATTATTATTATTATTATCATCACTCTTCTCCCTCGGTGTAACTAAGGTGTGTTGTGTTACAGGTGGAGCGATGGTGTGGTGGCATGGTGGCCCCGCAGGCTTCACTGTGGTGGCCTGCCTGGTGCTCTATGTCCTCGACCTACCTGGGTGAGTACCTACTTGTGGCCTGCCTTACCTGAACCTAGTGGCCTGCCTTACCTGAACCTAGTGGCCTGCCTCACCTGAACCTAGTGGCCTGCCTTACCTGAACCTAGTGGCCTGCCTTACCTGAACCTAGTGGCCTGCCTCACCCGAACCTAGTGGCCTGCCTTACCTGAACCTAGTGGCCTGCCTCACCTGAATTTAGTGGTCCTCCTTCCCTCCCTCAAACAGTGGCCTACCTGTGTGGCCTGCTCGCCTCCAAAAGTATCTACGGGGGTCGATGAATGTCAAAATGAACACTGTGACTCCTTTTGTCTCGGTAGGGTCGTCAAAATTCTTCGTCCATTGTGTCATATTATCTCACACATAATCGTAAAGATACTTATTATGGAGAGTGTTTCTGTACCTTGTTGTCATCTCCGTATAAGAATATTTCACCTTTTTTTTATTGTATCGAGTTGATCATTCGTAAGCAATACAAATAGCAGAGGCTCAATGACTGGTCCTTGAGGTACTCCACTCATCGTCATCTTTCCATTCAGATATTGTGTCTGTTTACTATTCCTCTTTATTTACTATTACCGAGAGAGGAACACACACAGTTAATAGATTTATCACCTACAGATAGATTGTTATTCCTTCGCAATCTCTCATAAACCATAACCCAACCCAACCCAGCCCAGCCCAACCCAACCCAGCCCAGCCCAACCCGAGAAAGCCCCAGCCCAGCCCAGCCCAGGCCCTAGCTCCAGCTCCAGCCCAGCCTCCAGCCCAGCCCCAGCTCCAGCCCCAGCCCAGCCCAGCCCAGCCCAGCCCAGCCCAACCCAACCCAGCCCAACCCAACTCCAGCCCAACCCAACCCAGCCCAACCCAGGCCCAACCCAGGCCCAAACCCAACCCAACCCAGCCTAACCCAGCCCAACCCAGCTCAACCCAGCCCAACCCAACCCAACCCAGCTCAACCCAACCCAACCCAACTCCAACCCAGTCAACCCAACCCAACCCAACCCAACTCCAGCTCCAACCCAGCCCAGCTCCAGCCCAGCCCAGCCCAACCTGCAGCTCAACCCAGCCCAGCTCTAACCCAAACTCCAACCCAACCCAACCCAACCCAACCCAACCCAACCCAACCCAACCCAACCCAACCTACAGATAGATCTTTTAATCTTTATTCTTTTTCAAAATGTCTTTAGTAACTCCATCAAATACCTTCATAAAACCGCATTACGTTACATTTACTGCAGTGCGATATAAGGCGGACGGAGAGACGGGTTCTGTGGATGGAGGAGTCTCATGCGTGGGAGGGGAGGGAGAGGAGAGGGAAAGGGGAAGGGGAAGGAAGGGAGTTTACCAGACGTTAAAGGGAAAGGAAAATGTGTAAGAGGATGAAAAGTGAATATATATGAATGAAAAATATGTATAAATGTATAAGAGGAAGGAAACAATGTGTATAAATGTATAAAAATGATGAAAAGTGAATGTAATAACGGAAGCTGCAACTCTACTTGGCGTTTAAGTATATGTAATACGTCCACTGTCTTGTGTATTACCCTATTAGAAGCAGCGGCCACGAGGGAGAGACGTAAGAACCTGATGAAGTATAAAATGATGAGAGAGGAGAGAGAGAGAGAGAGAGAGAGAGAGAGAGAGAGAGAGAGAGAAGGATATTATCTCTTAAATATGACTCGAGAGAATAATGAAGTGTTAATTTAAGACAAAGGAGGTGGAAATAAGTGGTTTTTATACACTGGTGATAAAGGAGGGGAGAGGGAGAGAATGATGGAGAGGTGTGGAGGGAGGAGAGTGTAATGAAGAGAGGGTGAGGGGGGGATGGTGGAGAGGTGTGGAAGAGAGCGTGAAGAATTGACAGTATGATAAATAGATTTGTTTATTTTGAATATGCACGTATAGACAGATCGACAGACACATACATGCATACAGACAGACAGACAGACAGACAGACATACGTATATATATAGACAGACATACATAGTAACACACACACACACACTGCTTGGCCAGGCACAAAAGGGACTCTTAACTCACCAACTTTCATGTTACAGTAATTGATTTAAGGCGAACAGGTAAGATGCTTGTGACGTCAACAATGGTGTTTATCCTCTGGTCACCTGAGAGAGGGAGGGGGTGGGGGGGCTCCTACAGACACCACACAAAGCGATGGTGACGCACTGTGTGAAGTCGACGGTGAAGGTGGTAGAGGGCGAGGATGAGTCTGTGGTGAGGATAGGGGTGTGTCTGTGATGAGGATAAGAGGGGCGTGTCTGTGGTGAGGGATAAGGGAGGTGTGTCTGTGGTGAGGATAAGGACGTGTCTGTGGTGAGGATAAGGGCGTGTCTGTGGTGAGGGGATGGGGCGTGTCTGTGGTGAGGATGAGGGCGTGTCTGTGGTGAGGGATGAGGGCGTGTCTGTGGTGAGGATAAGGGCGTGTCTGGTGAGGATAAGGGCGTGTCTGTGGCGAGTGTAAAGGGTGTGTGTGTGGCAGTATAAGGGTGTGTCTGTGGCAGGATAGGGCGTATCTGTGGCGAGGATAAGGGCGTGTCTGTGGCGAGGATAAGGGCGTGTCTGTGAGGATAGGGCGTGTCTGTGTCGAGGATAAGGGGCGTGTCTGTGGCGAGGATAGGGGCGTGTCTGGTTCATCTTAAAGTGTAACAAGCGTTGGGGACTCGTTCATCTGTGTGTGTGTGTGTGTGTGTGTGTGTGTGTGCTTGCTTGCCTCTCTCTCTCTCTCTCATAAATGTTAAATAATCCAATATAAAACAAAATAATACCAACATATTTCCTTAAACTAATCTTAAAACAATTGTCATAGTGGCTTATTCATTTAACTCTTACGTGTATATTCTTGTATTATGGCAACAATGGATATATATCACGTCGACTGAGAATATATATCTAAGAGACAAAATGTAGCTTAGAATTATATTAGAATTGTTATTATATAGAACTGAATTATTTTATAGTGCATGATATATAAGAAATCATAATATATAATCTACAGGAAGATATAATTTACGGTAGAATAATGATGTATTGTTGAAATATATGATCTAGATCGTTATATAATTTTACAAGTGAATTTGAATATGTTCGTTGTGTCTGTGTGTTTGGAAGTGTAGTAATTATCTGTATTTTTATTTTTATTTTTATGTATTTATGGTAATTGTGTGTATTTCTATTTATTCTTTTGGCATTTGTGTTTATTAAAATTTTTCTACGAGTTGTGGTAACTATTTAAGTAGGATATATAAAGCCGGGTTACATTGTGGTTCTCGTGGAGTCGGTAAGGGTCGCGTTAAGGATATATATATATATATATATATATATATATATATATATATATATATATATATATATATATATATATATATATATATATATATATATATATATATATATATATATATAATATGTGTGTGTGTGTGTGTGGTTTAATTGGCTTTTTTTAAATGATAAGATGTACGTTTTGTGTGTGTGTGTCGGAGGATAATCACAATGGTTTTCCCTCCAGCACCAGCCTTCACCCCCCCAACCAGCCTGACCCCCCCCTTGCCCCAGCCTGCCCCTCCTCCAGCCTGCCCCTCTTGCCCTAGCCTGCCCCTCTTGCCCTAGCCTGCCCCTCCTCCAGCCTGCCCCTCTTGCCCCATCCTGCCCCTCCTGCCCTTGTGATGGTATCGTGGTGGCTGGACCTGTAGAAAGAGATGGACCATCAAATTTCCGCCGTGGTCACTACCAAAGGGGCTTGGGAGAGACGGAGGGGGGAACGAAGGAGGGAGGGACGGAAGGAGGAAGGAAAGAGGGAGGGAGAGCTGCCTGACGATGCACCACCAGCAGAATCACTAATCGCTGATGTTGTCTTTTTTAATTTATTTCCTGGAGTACTCGAGTGTCGCGTGTAACAACAACAACAATAATAATAATGATAATAATAACAACAACAACAACAACAACAATAATAATAATAATAATAATAATAATAATAATAATAAAAATATTAATAATAATAATAATAATAATAATAAATCTGTTAAACATCATGAAAAAATATTGTTCTAATCTTATTTCGTGCAGTAAAATGGCACTAAACACATTAACGTGTAGAGTAGAATGACTGTTGTGTGGTGGTGAGTGGTGATGGTGGTGCAGACTGTTGTGTGGTGGTGAGTGGTGATGGTGGTGCAGACTGTTGTGTGGTGGTGGTGCAGGCATGTTGTGTGGTGGTGAGTGGTGATGGTGGTGCAGACTGTTGTGTGGTGGTGAGTGGTGATGGTGGTGCAGACTGTTGTGTGGTGGTGGTGGTGGTGAGTGGTGGTGGTGCTTGACTCTTGGTGGTGGTGCTTGACTCTTTATTGCTGGTCATTCTACTCGTGTTGATGACCATTGAGGGTGTCAGGTATGAGGGCTGGACTGCCACCACCACTGAGGGCTGGACGACTCCCTGCCACCACCAAAACATGCACAAGTTGGCAGGGGGTGTAGAGGTTGGCAGAGTGTACCAACTTGTCTTAGTCAACGTTGTATAAGCACTAAAACATACTTACAAACGACTTATAATGAGAGTTATTTATGTTAAGTTTTGAGTGACGAAGAAGGGTGGGCGAGGATGGACGTAGGTGGGCAGGGGTGGGCTGAGGTGGGCATGGGTGGGTGGAGTGGGAGTAGGTGGGCGAGATGGACAGGGCTGGGTGGAGGTGGGCAGGGGTGAGCGGGGGTGGGCTGAGGTGGGCAGGGGTGGGTAATCTACATATAACTGGTGGTGATGAGGATTTTTAATTCTTTAACACTTAATCTGTTTGTTTACCTTAGAGCAAAATACTTGAGTGGTGTGGTGTGGCTTGATGATGTGGCCTTATGATGTGGTGTAGTGATGTGGCTTGGTGGCGTGCTGCAACTATTTCTGGTATCAGGCATAGATTCAACCCCGGTTAAAGAGAGTAAAGTCCAAAATGGCGTCATAACTCCCTGAGACTCGACCCTAACACGAAGCGCCCCTCTTAGCTTGTGTTAGAGCAGAAAATACAAGTTTATAATCTTAGTAAATGTGGAACCTTTCTTCTTCTTCCTCCCCCTTTCCTTCCTCTTCTTTCCTTCAATTTGCTCTTATTACCTTCGTCCCTCCCTCATTCCTCCCCTTCTTCCCTCTCCCTCTCCCTTCTCCCCCTCCCCCCCCCCTCATACCCCGGGAATGACCCTCGCTCTCAGGGGAAGTGAGTGAATTCGGTGGTGGTCTGAAGCTCCTGTCGGGGGAAGACCTGAGTCTCCTGCCAGGGCTTCACTACCCAACCTGCTTCAGCCTGCCTCCTCCTTCCTTCCTCTGCCTCCCTCCTTCTCCAGGTCACTCCCTTCCCTCCTCTCTCTCTCTCTCTCTCTCTCTCTCTCTCTCTCTCTCTCTCTCTCTCTCTCTCTCTCTCTCTCTCTCTCTCTCTCTCTCTCTCTCTCTCTCTCTCTCTCTCTCTCTCTCTCTCTCTCTCTCTTTTGGTAACAGGTGTGCTGGTTCGTTAATCATTCAGGAAATAAACTTGTCAGGTGTTGTCGTGATAATCGCCTCCATTAAGTCTTTAAAACACAGTGATGGTTTGTTTTACACACTCACAGATACTGTTTTGTTGTTGTTGTTGTTGTTGTTTTTGTGCAGTTGTTGTTGTTGTTGTTAAGTGATGGAAATAAGTTGAATATAAAACCGATTTTTTTTTACTTAGAATTATTTATTGTTTATTGTGTTAATTTGTTTGTTTGTTGGTTTTGGTTTGGTTAGAGTTTGGTTATGGGTAGGGTTTGATTATAGTTTGGTTAGGTTAGGGTTTGTTAGATTATGGTTAGGTTAGGTTATTGCAGGCCATGAGCTTTAAATAACCCTATAATGTGATTTTAATCCGAAAAATAACAAAAAAATAACATAAAGAACAACTACAACACTGAAGAACATTACCCGTTATTGATGTTATTCAGAACCGTTCATAACACCCGGAAGTGATTGAACTGTAACTGGGAATAAGTGGAAGAAATATTGATGCATGAGTAACTAAAAGGAATTTATTGATGGAATAATGACAGGTTAGTCGCACAGAGGCACACACACACACACACACACACACACACACACACACACACTGACAGTAATTCATGGAAACATAAAATAAAATTGGTTGAATATGAAGCATTGGCATCAGAATATTTATATGAGTCAACAATTCTGGGGTAAATGGGTCATCTTCTTCTTCTTCTTCTTCCTCTTCCTCCTTTTTGCCGTCGACCTGTTCCTCCAAATCCTCCACCTCCTCCTCGCCTTCCTCTTCCTCTTTATTCGTCGTCTCGTCTTCCTCCTTCTCCTCTCCGCCTTCCTTCTCCACTTCGTTCCTCCTCCTCCTCCTCCTCCTCCTCCTCCTCCTCTTCCTCCTCCTCTTCCTCCTCCCTAATATTACATTTGCGAGGAGAATTTTCCACAGAACTGAGCAATTTGGAGCGGATCACAGCCTGGGTCACATGAGTGGTAAATTGTAGTGTGGTGCACCAAAGGAGTTAGCTGTATAGTGCGTAGTTCGGACGTGTGTGTGTGTGTGTGTGTGTGTGTGTGTGTGTGTGTGTGTGTGTTCAGCAAGTTACCACAACACTTCAACACAGGCAAATAAACACTTTCTCTCATTAATTACACCAGACAAAGACAATTTAGGAAGAAAAGGTATAAATTAAGATTAAGATTTATTCTTCTGTGTCTTACCCTGCAGGATGGCTGAAGGGAACGCCCAACGACGCTTCCTGGAGCAGAAACTGAAGGACTATGATGTTAATGTGTGGCCTGGCGGTGCCGAGAGATATGATACACGTGAGTACCTTCCTGTCATGCTGAAACTGGTGGTCCTCCCTCATGCTGGGGGCTGGTGGTCCTCCCTCTCATGCTGGGGGCTGGTGGTCCCTCCCTCTCATGCTGGGGCTGGTGGTCCCTCCACTCCTCATGCTCAGGGCTGGTGGTCCCTCTCCCTCATGCTGGGGCTGATGGTCCCTCCCTCATGCTGGGGGCTGGTACTGGTCCCTCCCTCATGCTGGGGGCTGGTTGTCCCTCCCTCTCATGCTGGGGGCTGGTGGTCTCTCCCTCTCATCTGGGGCTGGTGGTCCTCCCTCTCATGCTGGGGCTGGTAGTCCCTCCTCATGCTGGGGAGCTGGTTGTCCCTCCCTCTCATGTTGGGGGCTGATGGTCCCTCCCTTTCATGCTGGGGGATGATGGTCCCTCCCTCTCATGCTGGGGGCTGGTTGTCCCTCCCTCTCATGCTCAGGGGCTGATGGTCCCTCCTTTCATGCTGGGGGATGATGGTCCCTCCCTCTCATGCTCGGGGCTGGTGGTTCCTCCCTTTCATGCTGGGGGATGATGGTCTCTCCCTCTCATGCTGGAGGCTGCTAGTCCCCCCTCTCATGCTGGGGCCTGCTAGTCCTATAAGCTGTACCAACACAACAATAGGGTGTCCGCGGGCAGTTATCTCTTGTAATTCCTTGGCTAACACAGACACACACAACAGCTGGAGTAATGTGTTAGGATAGGTAAGGGTTGGTTAGGTTAGGTTGACTCTTCACCAACACTTGACTGTCCAACACCTAACTCGCCAACACTTTAATTTGTTTTACTTAGTTTTTATTTTTATTCACTAATGTCTTATTATATTATGTTTCATTAATCTGTTTATTTACAGTTTTTTTTAATATAGTTTGTTTAAAATTTATTTACAATTATTTCACCTTGAATGTTTTCCTCACCTGTCCAGTTTATTTGATTTCCTAATTTATTTATTTTTTTGTGTTGACTTATTTGTTATTTATTTTTATTGTGTGTGTGTGTGCGTGTGTGTGTGTGTGTGTGTGTGTGTATGTATGTGTGTGTATGTGTCTCTCCCAGGGCACGGCCTCGCCAACTTCACTGTGCCTCACCTCCCGGACCTCCTCAGCACCTCCTCCTACCTGCCCTACCCCCCCGACCGTGAGTATTGTCTCTCATTAATCACCTGTCATGCACCTACACCACCTGTCATGCCCTACCTCCACCACCTGTCATGCACCTACACCGCCTGTCATGCACCTACACCAACTGTCATGCACCACCTCCTCCACCACCTGTCATGCACCTCCTTCACCACCTGTCATGCACCTCCTCCACCACCTGTCACGCACCTCCTCCTCCACCACCTGTCATGCATCCCTCCTCCACCACCTGTCACGCACCTCCTCCTCCACCACCTGTCATGCATCCCTCCACCACC